TTTTTTGTTAATATGGTTATTTAGAACTTTGCCTTAACTAATCTCACTGGTATCTTCAAATCACCCTATCTATAAGTACTGAGTATAACTCTACCTTGAAGGAAACAAATGGTGTTGAAGGAACCTGCATTCTTAGTATGATTCTCAATGGATAAATACTTTGTAATCCTTGTTATTTTAATCTTAATGAAGTAATTCCTTTTTCATTCATGTTTTGTTTAAACTCGAGCTCAAGCTCTTCACGTATATATGCACATTTTGCATGATAACTGAGATATAAACAATAAACGGTCAAAAGTACCTGAAAAAACAAGAAAGCAGAACCTTGCGTGCAAAATTCAATGAGAAAGAGGCACAAAAAGGATGTGCAGTGCCCCTTCTGCTTTTCTCAAGGAACTATTCTTCCCTTTCCCTGCCTTTCTTCAATCTCTATTCTTATAAATTCCCTTTCATGGTGTCTGCAACTGCAACCCACCATGGATAAAACTACTCACCATTGTCTATCCTGCTCCTCCTTGGACATGATCCTCCATCACATCCATGAACTCTCCAGGGTCGGTTTTTTCACTTCCCACCGTCTTATTGCAGTAATTGGAGTAGGGCTGGTGCTTCTGTTTCTTGTACACAGAAGAAGATCAGCTGTATACTTGCTAGACTTTGCCTGCTACCGGGCGCCAGATTCTTACCGTGCACCGCTCCACTCCCTGGTGGAGAACTGCTCTTACGATTTCGACTCCAAGAGCCTTGCTTTCACAATCAAGATATTAGGGAAATCAGGAATCGGTCCAGAAACCTATGGCGCTCCTTGCATGGCTCAAGTTCCCATAAGAAGATCGATTGCGTTTTGCATGGACGAAGCATCAGAGGTGATTTTCTCCACTGTGGTCAAGTTGCTGAAGAAGTGCAATATTAACCCGAAAAGCATAGACATACTTATCACCAATTGTACAATATTCTGTCCGATACCATCTCTCAGTGCTATGATAGTTAACAAGTTCAGAATGAGGAGCAATATCAAGAGTTTTCACCTCTCCGGTATGGGCTGCAGTGCCGGAATTACATCAGTTGGTCTGGCTAAGGACTTGTTGCGTGTTCACCGGAATTGCTTGGCTCTGATTGTCAGCACGGAGTGTCTGAATGTAAACTGGTACAGTGGCAAGAACACCTCCATGCTTCTCCCCAACTGTCTCTTCCGGATGGGGGGAGCGGCTGTTCTGCTATCAAGCCGGGACCAAGACCATAGCCAGGCGAAGTACAAGCTTCAACACCTGGTTCGGACAAACAGAGCTTCGGATGATCAGTCCTACACCTGCATATTTCAAGATGTTGATTCTGAAAACAAAGATGGGGTATCAATATCAAAGAATATACTACATGTAGCAGGGGATGCATTGAAAGCAAACCTTACCTCCCTAGGGCCAATGGTTCTGCCACTCTCAGAGAAGTTTCGGTATGGATTCTCCATTGTCTGCCGGCAGATTGTTCCAAAGGGGACCATCCACACGCCAGATTTCAGGAAAGCTTTTCAACATTTTTGCATACATTCAGGAGGGAAGGGTATAATTCAAGCGGTAGAGAAGAACCTGAAGTTGAGGGAAGAGGATGTTGAGGCTTCTAAGATGACCCTGTATAGATTTGGAAATACTTCCTCTTCTTCCATCTGGTATGAGCTATCTTACATAGAAGCAAAAGGGAGAATGAAAAGAGGAGACAAGGTATGGCAGCTTGCTCTCGGAAGTGGGTTCAAATGCAATAGTGCAGTTTGGAAATGTCTGCACAACATAGGGTTGGACTCCCTAAACGCCTGGAATGATAGGATACATTTATATCCCGTAGAAATACCTGATAATGTTGAAATCCTTCAAACTTAGTACAACTACAATTGTATATCTTGGGGATCACCAGCATAATGGTAACACAAGGGTTTGATACCCTGCTTCTTTTACATATATAATACACAGCATGCTACTAAATTTCCATGTAGGGATTGCAAAAATTTAAGATGTCTTACCAATTAAAAAGACTTAAATACCTTCAATAAATCGATACGTCAGAAAGATTTATTAAGAAGAAGTTAAGAAGTCGTAATTTTCACTTTTCTCTTTCAGGTAACAATTTGGCAAATCACAGAAAAAATGGAAACCAAAATTGTCGTCTCTTTCGGCGCAGCCACAAAGCAGGGCAAAGTAATGGCATCATGAGGTCAAAATTTTGAAACACCTCAACATAATAAAGATAGATTCTTCTAAGGTACTAGCAAGTAAACAAAGACAATGCTATCAACACTACTACTCTTGATCCTCGCCCTCATTCTCTGCGATGTTGAAGTATCTCAATTCATAAACACTTGCATCCTTGTTGGCAGCAATTACTCGAAGCCAATCCCTAACATTGTGTTTCTTCAAGTATTTCTTCGTCAAGTACCTGAGGTACCTACAAGATCAACCTACAATTAGCAAAACAAATAGAACAAGGAGGACAAAATGTTACTTCATAGCCTAATAGAAATTCCAACAAACTCAGAGGAACAAATACACAAGATTTAAGCAGTAAAAAGGCCTATGAAAATGAGGAAATGAATAGATTCTACCAATAGCAACATCAACACCATGGTTAGCAAAAATAATAATGTTAGAAGATATACTGACTATAATTTTCATAAAGAGTTTGTCCCTGACACACTGCAGACCTTACTAATAAAAGGAAGAGACAAAATCTTTAAAATATAAGCAGATTAGGGAAGATTTAAGTGCCACAATGAAAGACATACAAAATCAAACAGAAAATTGAAACTTTTTCCAATTCAATATGAACTAGAAATGCCTCTGAAATGCCCTTTTTTTTTATGTTGGGTTGCATAATAGGAAACAACCCCTTCTCTCTCTTAACCTGTGATTTGAACTTAGCACCACTTACTTCCATTGGAAGGAAGGAAGGAGATTATCAGTAAGCCTATAAAATTGAAGCTGAAGCATGAATGAAAGATAAAGAGGAAAGTAAGGATGGATGAGTACCGTTTGGAGAACTCAGAGTCAGAGCTGATGGTAACCTTGGACTTGTCACGGATGACGGCGACGGAGTCGCCAAGGTTACCAGGTTTGCCGGCAACCTTGATGCGTTCCTGGAGGTACTTCTCGAAGGAGGCGATGTCCATGATATTGTCCTCCACCGGCTTCGAGCAGTCGATGGTGAAGGTTACTGCCTTCTTCTTCCCGCCCTTCGCCGCCACTCTGACCATTTTTGCTTCTCCGTGACGGAACAACAAGATGACGAGGAACAATAGGGTTACGGTTTAAGGTGGGAGGGAGTTCTTAAAATCTCAAGAGTTGGGTGATTGGGCTTGACTTTCTAGTTGTCAGATTTTTGGCCCAGTCCATTAATTATTTAGTCTAATCATTTTTTGTTAAGACAAGTGGGCATGGTTCAGGTCGCTACGGGAATGCTAAGTGCACTCGGGCCTTTATTTTATGGCCCGAGTGTAATTTTCTTTTAAATAAAAAAATAAATAAAAATGAAGTGACTCAACAACTTCGTTGAAACAAGTGGGCATGGTTCAGGTCGCTACGGGAATGCTAAGTGCACTCGGGCCTTTATTTTATGGCCCGAGTGTAATTTTCTTTTAATTAAAAAAAAAAAAAACCAAAAACCGATCTAGTTACGTAAAAAAAGTAATCTATTTATTTAATTTTTTTTTTATGTTGATTGTATAATGGGAAGTAAATTTCTCTCATCTCTTATCTTACCTTAATCATATATCATGTAATTTGAACTCAGAACTTTTTACTTTTAGTGAAAAGAAATTATTATTGAGTTACTTAAATCGTTAGTAGTATTTTATAGTTTAATTTAAGACTACATAAAACATTTTTCTATTGAATGATTCTATAGTTTAATTTAGACTACATAAAACATTTTCTTATTGAATGATTAAAATACTTAATTAAAAATTTCAAGTTTGAAACATGAGATAAGTGAGAAAGATTTAGAAAATGAAAAGAACTATCTCTTTTTGCATGATCCCTTTTTGTATGATTTTTTATCATCAAATATATCAAAAATATTAAATGAGAAAAAATTAT